ACGTAATTATTAAAACTAATACCTATTAACAGTGGATTGTGTTCCTATATCCTACCATCGATATTACTATTTACATGAGTATACAGTATAACAAATGTGAGAAATTTTAAGTAGTCGTAATAGACAGAAAAGGGCTTTATAATAATGAAATTTGATAATTGAATTCCTCTCATTTTGCTTTCTCGATTAAAAAAAAAATCATCAAAATCGGAGCCATGGAAGCCGAGATATTCAACACCGAAGCGCGCGCGCTTTTTTTTGAACGCACGATTTCAATTTCTATAATTCATCTCCTCCCCTCGGTTTTGCGGCACAAATGGTCGGCTTGACGGTATTCAATGAATTTTCATAAAAAAGCACACGTGCGATCATATTTATAAAAACACATACGGAAAGTTCTTGGAAAAACCTACCCAAATTCAATTTTTATTGTTTTTACATTATACATAGTTTTGCTGCATGCGCTTGTTGACTTTGACACTCGATATCTCGGAACTTATAGGACCGATTTGAACGTTCTTTTTTTCAAGTTAAGCGTCTTTCCGAGAACTGTTTTTTAGTACTTTGGTATATTTTCCAACCCGCAAAACCGCTTCACGAAAGTAATTGTTTATAAAGTCAAAATTTTTCTAACTTTTAAATTAGCTTCAAAAATTATTCAAAAAAATAAAATTGATATTCTAACGATTCTATATGATTGTTAAGGGATCCAAGTAAGTGTAAAAAAATCAGCGCAGATTAAAATGCCTAANCAAAAAACTTTATATAACATTTGTTACTTAAAATTGACTCCTCTATCGATTCCTGTGTTCATTTTGGGCGTAAAAATTTCCATCCCCAAGAAGGGGTGGTAACCACCCCCAGGGCAAAAGCACACTTCGGCACCGTATAAGTTTTGTTCCTAGAGGCATTCCCCACATTCAGTCAAAACTTCATATCAATCGGTTCAGTTATAATGAATTCGGAGGTAAAAACCCTGAGTAATTGGACTAATAGTTATTCAATCAATTCAAATATCCATATAAAGAAGTTTAATTTGACAGGTGCAGTTTTCATATGATTAACGAGCTATACCCTCTATCTTGTAACGCCTCCGAAAGAAAGACGCAAACATTTTTGACAGATACAAACTGTACCTCTCTGACCCCTCAGACCCGGCAATTTTTCCTCCGCTTTTTCAACGTGGAATTTCCACACTGCCGGGCGGCGTCTCCCGACGACTCGAATCGCGCGAACGAAGCCCGTTTCGTACCGGCGATGCCGCGAGCAGACGCCGCGACGCCCCGGCTCGAGCTTTCCCTCGCCCCGACCGACGAACGGTTTGTCTCCGTCAGCGTCCCAGAGTCCCAGAATTATCGGCGAGCTTTGTATCTATCGGCCCGGCAGCAACGCCAGAGGATCCAGTAGGCCGTGGGCTTGTCGCCCGGGGGCGGCAGAGGGAGGAGGCGTCCGTGTACAGGGGCTGATCAAAGTTGGCGCGACCGAGGCGCGAGGCTAATGAAATAGGGGAATATGTATTAGCACCAGGTCAGAATGGGCTCGATGCACGACAGGAAATCGATGGGGGGATGGTGTAACCGACCGCATTTTTTTAAATACGTCCTCGAATTTCACACCGTCGGATATACAACGTAATTAAGGTTTGGAATAGGGCGAATTTAAGGATGACGCACGGAATGATATGCGTTATACAATTTTTTATTTAATTTTTATTCATTCATTATGCTTTTATGAAGGTAAAACAAAGTCTTATTGCCACAGTAGTATAGTCATTGAAGATAAAAATCAGCTGTAACCTACGAAATCTTTGAACCCTTAAAAACTACCCCTGTGCAAAAAATAATGATAAAAAATTACTTTTTAAAGATTTGGAATGATTAAATCGTGCAATTATTTAAAATAAAAGTTACCTTATAGCTAATAAAATAATTTTTCCCTTTCAACCCCTAAAAACCACCAAACAACATTAACAAAAATTAAATTAACAAAATTGATAAAAAATTACTTTTTAAAAGCTTGGAATGTTTTAACGGTGCAATTATTTAAAATAAAAATTCCCCTCATTGCTTATGAAAGAATTTGTATCTCGTAACACTTTTCAACCCTTATAAATCACCCCTGTGCTAAAAAAATGATAAAAAGTTACGTTTTAAATCTTGGAATACTATAATTGTGCAATAGTTTAAAAATTTCCTTATATTGTTGGGCACTTGAATCCTAACATTTTGCTCCAAAAATGAGAAAGTCTATTTTTCTCCGAAAAAATGTCATTGATTTTTTTACCATAACTTGGTTAATTTTGAAGCTATAATATCCTACAAAAAAGCATTTTAAAGATAATTTCAAGAGCTGTAAGTAAGATCGTTTGCATATAAAACCTTTTAAGTCCTTCGTTTTTTTTAAGGGAAGGATCGAAGGACTCGAGACAGGTCGTTTTTTCACTAAGTGCTCATTTTGAAGGTTTTTTTGAGTACTACAAAAAAACTCCTAGAGCGTTACACACTTAAAATTAATCCTTTTTCCGTTACTTGACGTTGAATACATCGATTCGAGTATTCCCCCCAAAACAGGTCCCCTTCCACTAACCATATTTCGCTTTGTATAGGACGTACAACACTTTTTTAAAAACGATTCTCATTGTTTATTTATAAGCTACATTTTTGTTCATTACACTTTTTTAAATAAAATGCGTAGTTTTTGAGTTATTCGCGAAAAATACTTTGAAAAAGTGTTTTTTTTTTTCACTCAAAATTACAACTAAAAAACTATTGATTTCTCGAAAAAATTATTCGTATATTTTTTGCTCGAAATTTGATTCTCTATCGATTTCTAGCGTTATTTTTTAAAAAAAAAATTCCACCCCCGAGAAGGGGTGTCAACCCCCAACAGGGTGGAAGCGTCAATCGGCGCTATGTCGCTAATGTTCATTGACCTTTTCTCTAACTATCTGCCAAATTTCAACTCGATCGGTTCAGTTTCAAAGAAGGAAATAGTCCCTGAACTTAAATCTAATGACTAAAATATGATAAGAGAATAAAAATTCGTTTTTTTTTATTATTTATTTTTAGTAGTATATGTTGTCAATGACCTCTGACATTAATTTAGCTGAACTATACTACTGTCACTACATAAAGTAGAAAGGGATGCATTTAGGAAAATTAAAACAGGTAATAGTACCAAAAGGTTATAAAATTATAAACAAAGTACGGTAGGTTTTTACTCTATTTCCTTTTTTAGTCACTCGAGAAGCCAAATTTATCCAAAATTAAGCAGAATCCCATCCAGATGGCGTGGAAATTTTCTATTTAATAACATGTTTTATAATAACCTTTTCTGTAGAATTCTATCATCGAGAAACCATATTTTGTATTAAAAATAACTACATTTCTTCCACTGCAACATAAAAATAGAAAGAAAAATATACTTTACGACATTGTTATAGTCAGAAGCTGGGCCTTTACGGCAATTTTATTGGTCTGTGCACTCCGTTCCGACGCTTCGACCTTTATAAATTATTTTTATGTCGGTTTATATCGAAGGGAAGAATACGTATACAGGCACATCGATCAAATGCGCTGTAAACTTCAATACAAGCCGTAAGGTTAAAATATTTCCCCATCGAAGTACAATCTTCCTAAATAATAATTGCATAATTGCATTAATTTGCAAATTTCTCTCGTAGGGATTATACAAACAATTATTATTAATTGAAAAACACTGAAATCGTTAAATAATAATAATCTTTCAAAGAAATATATTTAATTTTTCTTTTAACGTCACCTTTGACAAAGACCAACACCAAGACTACAATTGGTGACCTTGGTCTTGACCTCGAGGATCCTTTTCAAGGTCATCTTGAATTAAAAAGTTTTCTTAGTTCCCTAAAGGTTTTGAGCCTTCCCGTATAAAAAAAACTCCCTGCACCAGCGGACGATCTCATGCTTGAATTACACAACTTTTTCAACGATCGTCGTATTACAGGGCTTGCAGTAACCTCTGTACTTTTAGTTATAAAAATAATTATCGAATACCCGTCGAGACGCCACGTCGTGCCTTGCACAGGGAATGACGGAGAGACTGCGAGGCGTACGGATTCGTTTTCTCTCTTCCTGAATGTTGGCAAGGATTTTCAGGACGCGAGAATTGTAAATTATACCCGGGGCGTTGAATTTTAAATATAGAACCCCTAAAAGTGGCATAAAGCGGGCGAGGGGCTGTTTAAAATTCAGAAATTCGCGGCTACGCCCTAAATTAGTGCTTAATTGTGGGTATTTCGCAATTTCTGGCGGATTCGTCGTTTGTGAAAACGTTACTTCGTCTAGACAATTCGCACGATATTCTTGGGATATAAAATAATTTATCTGTGGTGCTTACAATGTCATATACAAATACAAATCATTGATATTTGACGTAGACAATATTCCTAGAAAGATTTTTAGTAAATTGGTTGTTGCCAATCGTGAGATCAGTAGATCTACTCAAATCTCGGTAGATCTAGAAACACTGGGTACAGATAAACTTTTAAGAATACCAGAAACACCAGTGTTGTTGGCATAAAACATATAGTTTAGGGTGTGTGGTTGTTGCTGTTCGACTACCTTGTAGAGATCGACACTGGCGAACGTTTTTTAGGTTAATTTTTCTGCATCTTGCGTTGACAGCAAGATTTTTTACGTGTAAAATTATACTTTACATTATACTGTGCAAAAACATTGCACAAAATTTAATTTCCACAAATTTTATGTCTTAAAATGTCCAATTTTTACGATCTCAAAACTTACCCGATCAAGTTTCAATGCAATATGTTATATTTTATAAAGAACACGACAAAAACTTGTATCCGAAAAACAACAACAGTAGAAATAAATAAATAATTGACCTGTGATATCCTGGACTAAGAGTATTGATGAAATATTGAAAATAAGTCCGGACTAACATAATATCTGAATTAACGCTGCTGCCAAACCCGTCCAGGTTTCCAAATTTAGGCTTACACTCACCGTTCACGTGGTTCTCATCCCCTTCATTCGGATTCTCTGTATTTTTATCCTCCGTTGTTCCTCCGGCCCCTTCTTGGTTCTCCTTATTCTCGCTCTCGGCCAGGGGTACAGAATCCTTGCTAGTGTTGCAGCCCATCTTATTCTCTTATCTCTCACTTGACACTTTTTTGCTGATTTACCACTACAGATTTAAATCAACGTTCCGAGAACACTTCTTAATGAACCGCCTAGAGTTAACGAAATTCCTTAATTACGACGTACATCAATTTTAAACTGCTCAAAGTGTAGTTCCATGAAAGAAACGAATTTACTTAAATATTTTCGAGCAATTTAAAATTAATTTCGTAACAATTTATCTCTTTGAGATAAACAGAAAACCACAAGTCACTTTGTTAATTAAATATGAACCAGAACATGCAATTTTTAACCAACTTTACTACATTAACATATTTTTCCGTGCCTAAATTTACAGTTTGAAATTTTCTGTTTACCTCACAGCAGATTAATAAAACAGATAAGACAGATAAGTCTAGTTAAACATTCGGGCACTCACTCGATATATTTTTTTAACTAATTAGGTCCGTTTCGTATTAAGACACTTATTATCACTAATGAAATCGGTTAATTCGAAATTATTTCGCGGGTGCAGCCCAAGCAAGTACGTAAATATCCCGGGATAGAATTAAAAGAATGGCACGCACCCCTTGTTGAATGAATACGGACAAACAAGGGTGTTTCTCCCTGTTCATTTCAAAACATTCGCGATCAGAGCGTGCGCCCTATCGGACACTCGAAATGACTCATGAAAACGTTGCCTGATTTTGCATTTGGCGTGATTAATTGCAGCAGGAGATATTTATCGATTTCCGGAAGATATCGAAATGAAGAGAACGCCTCACCCTGTTATTAATTAAAAACAAATATGTATTGCATATCGCTGTGGTAGTCCTGTTCGTTATGCAACGCAATATACGCCAATGAAGCATCTTGGGTAGTAGCTCTTCCAATGTTTTCACTGGAATTATGGGCAGCGTTGATTAAACTTTAACCTTACTTTCAATTACTTTTAAGTATGCTTTTAAAAGAGTTGCTTTTAATTTTGTAATATATTCTTATTGTTATAAGCATGCGGCAACAGTGTTGTGATGAAAACATAAAATACTGAGGTGTAGTGGCATTTTCTAACCAGTGATCGTATTGTTTTGGTTTTGTAATAGTGTACAAATTAGTGACCCTCAACCACAGGAGAAGTAAAATAATTCAGCGCATCCAAACAGTTTTAATTCAAAATGGAGCGGGAGGATCAAACAACAAAAGTACTGTTTTATATATCCAAACTTATTTATCCAAAATATAACCCGTTTTGGTTTGTATTTTATATGTATTTATCATATTTTAAGATAATGAAAAGGAGATCAACGTATATTCTACAATCAAAACCGAATAAATACATTTTAGATTGCCTAAGTTGCGAACCAGATAGCTTCAATGACGTTAATAACACAGTTATTGTTCATGAACAAAATTTGTATAAAACGGATAGGATATTAAGATTATTTTGTGCGGAGAAACGGAAGTATAGAGTTATACGAGTATTACCTTCATCGTCATGTCAAAAAGATGAGCTTATTTGTTCAGAGACGTGTTACTACAATTTAATAAATTCTGGGTATGACACCGAATTAAGACTGTTAAGTTTTAATGAAGGTTTGGTGAAGTTTGCTGAGGAGATAGACGTCTCTCTAATAAGTAGCCCTCACGACATAAGCAATGCTGCAATCGACACCATTTTAGAAAAGTATTTTAAAACTCCCAAATTGTTAAATAAGGCCGACATATTGGAAATTAACGTTAAGTACTTCGCCCAGGAACTATTTTATGTGAACAACAAAATGAACCACGTGGAAAGTGTATATTTCAAGTGCAACAAAATACTTTTTCAAAATTGCGAGGTGGGGGCGGGTTATTTCTGTGCTATCGGTGAAACCGCCATTAGACAGTCGGCAAATGTGCAAAGTTTTATACCACCAACGCGTACTACGAGTGTAAAAAATAACTGTGACGGCTTCCAGGATGTACCCTTGTGCCCTTACGGGTTGCAGAGCTATTTGGAGAGTATCCAGAAGGCCGTGAGGCCTTTTCTTAAAAAAAGTAAGTTATTGACTTCGTGATGTTAATAGTTTTACGACTAATCCAAAGGACCACGCAATAATTACATTAAATGAATGTATGAATTGGGAAGGAACGGTTCCAAGGGATGATTTCTCGGAACCGTTCCAAGGAACGGTCCCGAAGAACCGTTGTAAAAAATTGTAAAAAAAAGATGTAAAAGTGGCTAAACACAGACAAACAAACCATCTGCCGGGGTCAGTATGGTAAAATCTGTTTTTATACTATCATTTTAGTAATTATATTTATTAAAATCAATTTTTTTGCATTTTTTTTATATACAGGGTGTTTCAGAAAGACCTCCCGTAAATTCAAGGGGGTGATAGTACGACAAAAAATAAGAATTTTTTGTCTTATGAATTATACGTCTATTTCCTCTTGTTTTCGAGATACAGAGCGACAAAATAAAATTTTTTAAATACAATTTTTACGAAAATTTCCAAACGGTGCCAAATATTTTTATGAAATTTGGTATTCCGGGGTTTTTAAGGACGCCAAATACACTGGTCTAATTATTTTTTGGATATTTCATAGAGGGCGTTACTTACGCTACATTTCTATTACACTTTAGGTTCTTATTTTTTTAAGGTTAGGTTTTTTACCATTTGGGCTCCAATTTCTAATGTACAATTTTATTTTTTAAAAATAACGTACTTTTGTTAGAACTTCCTAATGTGGACGGTTTTCGAGAAAAAAGGCTTTTAATTGAACTCTTACAATATTATGGTGAAGAAATAAATAAATGACTTTTCCCAAAGTAGGCTTATGTCAAAACTTATTGATGGATGTCTCATAAACAACTCATACATTCTTAATAATATTTTAAACTCTAATTAACTTTGTATCAAAATTTTAGTGATTGTTAGTGACTGTAGTTAGTAATGACTAATTACAGTCACTAAAATTTTCATATAAAATTAATTAGAGTTTAAAATATTACTGAGAATGATGCATTGTTTATGAGACATCCACCAATAAGTTTTGACATGAGCCTACTTTAAGAAAAGTCACTTATTTTCTTCACCGTAATTAAAAGCCTTTTTTCTCGAAAACCATCCACATTAGGAAATTCTAACAAGAGTACATTATTTTTGGAAAATAAAATTGTACATTAGAAATCGGAGCCCGAAAAAGCTAACCTCAAAATAATTAGAATTTAAAAATGTAATAGAAATGTAGCATAACTAGTGCCCTCTATAAAATATACAAAGAATAATTAGACCAGCGTATTTAAAAAACCCGGAATTCTATTTAAAAATTTTATTTTGTCGCTTTGTATCTCGAAAACAAGAGGAGATAGACAATATAGCTCATAAGACAAAAAATTCTTATTTTTTGTCATACTATCGCCCCCTGAATTTAAGGGAGGTTTTTCTGAAACACCCTGTATAAATCTAATATTTCATATCTATATTTAATAATAACACAAGACACATTTCCAGGCATTTTCCATGTGATATTCCTGGAAAGTACACAATTAAATAAATTGTTCGCAGAATGTCATACAAAATATTAAAATATTCAATTTACTATACATGACTTATTTATTGGACCTAATCTTCTTCAAGTAGCATTTTTTACAGCTGCAAAGTTAAACCTGAAATAAAATACAGGGCGATTCCTGATATAGGGTGTCAGAGAAAAATTTTTTTTCAGTTTTTTTATGTCTCAGGAACCATTTGATATACAGAACTGAAATTTTGTACACGTATTATCATTAATATTAGCTACTTTTGAGCGCTAATTCAATTTTTATTCATATGACAGTGGCGGAGATTTGAGAATTGCCTGAGGTCCTTTTGCCTTTAAATTTTTACAACTGTGGGAAAATTGGCATTTTGCAAGCATATTTTAAACCACCAATGTTTTCTACTTAAAAAAAGGTATCCATCATTAAAAGCTCTACGTCTTTGTAGAGTGTGATGTTGGATATTTCCATGAAATAAAACGTTAACGGGTCACCCTATACTTTACATCTCGATTTTTAGGTAAGCTTAGCTTATATCCGTCATTTCTCCTGCAAGGCGAAAGAGGATGCGGCAAAGAAATTTTAGTATCCTCGCTCGCGCGTCAAATGGGCATGCACTTTTATAAAATCGACAATTCCGATTTAGCGGCCAACATTTACGCCCAAAACGAGACGAGGATCCGAAATGCGTTTTTCAATGCTAAAATGGCAGCGCCTTGCGTAATATCCATCCACAATTTCGAGGTAAGAGTATTACCTAATAAGCCTTCATTGTCCCAGTAACTATTTTTTTTCCTGTAGAATTTTGGAAAAAACAATGAGGGCGAGTACGACGACCGAATAATGGACTTTTTTGCCAAGGAATTAAACACTTTATTCCAAAACAATCCTTTCCCGGTCGTCCTATTCGGTTGTAGCAATTCTAAGACCATTCCCGCAGACCTCAAGAAGCTCTTCTTGGAGACCTTCGAAATCGACACTCCGGACGCTGCGCAAAGAGAAGAAAACTTAAGGTGGATCTTGGGTGCCAAAACCAGTGCAGATTTAAGCGAGGTCGCCAATAAGACTCACGGGTTTTTCTTTGAGGATTTGAAAGCCCTCGTATACTACGCGGAATCGAATAAAAAATCAGAAAACAACGAAAACAATCGTTTAGTTACTGACGAACATTTCGCTTTGGCAATAGGTGACCGTTGCTTCCCATTACCTTTTTGTTTAAAAACTGATCATTACAAAATGTTACAGATTACATGCAGGGGAACTACAATGAAAGCATAGGAGCGCCCAGAGTGCCCAAAGTCCAATGGGCGGATGTAGGAGGCTTGAGCGACGTAAAGGAAGAAATTATCAAAACGATCAACCTACCCCTGAAACATCCACAGCTGTTGGAAAATTCCGGCTTAAAAAGATCCGGTAAGGACCATTAATAAGAATGACAGAGGTGTACCGGAATTGTTACAGGTATCTTGTTGTTTGGGCCACCGGGTACGGGAAAAACTTTGATCGCCAAGGCTGTGGCGACGGAATGCAGCCTTTGTTTTCTCTCCGTGAAAGGTCCCGAATTGTTGAACATGTACGTGGGCCAGTCGGAGCAAAACGTGCGGGACGGTAAGTGCCAAATTATTTACTTATCAGATACAGATATTAATTTCTACTATAGACCGATCGAAAACGAAAAAAAATAAATAAATGCTTCAGCAGGGGCGGCGAAGGGTTGATTAGGGGGGTTGAAACGATATGAAAAATTGTATCATTGGGATTTCTGGCGAATGTTGAAATCAAACAAAAAAGTATCTAATATAAAAGTTGTAGATCATGCAAAAATCTACAACTTTTGTAGAGGTCAGTTTTTAACATAACCTCAAAATTTCCGAGAAAAATTCGAAAAACAGTTTTTTTTTCTGATTTTTCGTTTTTTATTTCTCATTTCCGCAAAAATAATTTAATTTTGACGAAACTTGGTGAAAGTATACCTTTTTCTGTCATATATAACCTCAATTTTTTTTAGATAAAAAAATCTATAAATTTCTGAGATATTCATTTTTTTCGGACTGAAACACTTTTTTTTCAAAGAAAAATTCTTCTTAAAAAATCATAGTACAGAGTTCTGCCGGTAATCATTTTTTTCGTTTGGACATATACTTTTTGGTGAAATAAAAAAATTTGTAATCACAGTTCAAAAACATGCTCAAAAATGCAAAAAAGTAAAAAATTACTTGCGGCAATAAATTTTTTCAGTAAGTGTTGATAATTTGTTTAAATTTAAAAAAAAAATCAAAAACTGATTAGATGACCCAAAACTATTTTTGTACAGTATTGCTATAAACAAAAGTCGAATAGTGAATAAATAAAATAAATATTTTTTTTTCCATAGGATCGATTAGTGTACTTATTTTTTTTAAAGTTTGATGAATTCATAGATATACAGTGTGTCCAAGATAAGGATGGGATAGCATTAGGATCTAGAAAACGGTAAGAGATACGGGGTGGCCCGGATTAGAAAAAAGTTGTGTTTTTTTTATACCTAACAATATGCTGTTTAGAAAGTTTTAAGATTCCGGAAATTTTGCAAAATTGTTTAAGTTTTTCTGGCTTTATTTGAAAACGATTTTTAAAATAAATTACATACTTACATGCCACTTTTTTCACTCTATACAATGGTGTCAACATTTTTGCAATCCGACGTTTCGTCTTCGAGGGGCCATCATCGGGTTAATTTTTTTTAATTACGTCATAGCTATTTTTATGACAAAATCTAAAGCCATTTTTAATTCTAAATTAGAGAATATTACTATTGTAATCTGTTAAAAAGTTTTTAGCTTGTTTTAGCTATAATTTAAAATTTTTACCGAGTACGGCTCTGAACGTTTTCAAAATATCTATCGGAGGAAGTCACAACAGTATAAAAGTCAATACCGCACAAAATATCCAACGATTTTTTACTACAATACTAATTAGAAATAATAAAATATTTCATAAATTCGTATTATTTTTTTTATTAAGTACAACTTTTTAAATTTATGGATTAAAAAAAATTGTTGAATATTTTGTGTTGTATTGACTTCTATTCTCTCCTCTCTCTCTCTCTCTGTCTCTCTTCCAATAGATACAGTTATTTTGAAAGCGTTCGGAGCCGTACTTAGGAAAAATATTTTTAATGATAGCTAAAAACCCTTTTAAACGATTACAATAGTAATATCATCTAATACAGAATTAAAAATGACTAGATTTTGTCATAAAAATAGCAGCGATATATTTAAAAACATTAATCTGATGATGGCCCCCTCGAAGACGAAACGTCGGATTGTAAAAATGTTGATGCCATTCATTGGATAGAACGAAAAAAGTGGAATTGTAAATATGCAATTTATTTTAAAAATCGATTTCAAATAAAGCCAGAAAAAAATAAAACGATTTTACAAAATTTCGGGTTTTCGGATTTCGCGTCAACAGTAGGCTTTGCAGTTAATACTTTGTATTGCTGAAATCTCAAATCATATAGAGATAATTTATCATTTGTGTATTTGTAATTCGACTTAGATGTTTATAGCAATACTCTACAAAAATAAAGTTTTGGGTCAAACAATCACACAGTTTTTTTTTTATTTTTTTCCGTAGAATTGTATGGTGTAATCAGTTTTTGAATGTTTTTTAATTTAAACAAATTATCAACAATTACTGAAAAATTCATTGTTGCAAATCATTTTTTACTTTTTTGCATTTTTCAGCATGTTTTTGAACAGCGATTACAAATTTTTTTATTTTACCAAAAAGTATATGTCAAAACGAAAAAAATGATTACCGGCAGAACTCTGTATGATGATTTTTTTAAGTAGAATTTTTCTTTGAAAAGAAAGTGTTTCACGCCGAAAAATATGAATATCTCAGAATCTTCTTGATTTTTTTATCTAAAAAAATTTGAGGTTATTTAAGGCAGAGAAAAGTATACTTTCACCAAGTTTCGTCAAAATTAAATTATTTTTGCGGAAATGAGAAATAAAAACGAAAAATCAGAAAAAAAACTGTTTTTCGCATTTTTCTCGGAAATTTTGAAGTTATGTTAAAAATTGACCTCTACAAAAGTTGTAGATTTTTGCACGATCTACAACTTTTGTATTAGATACTTTTTTGTTTGACGTCAACTTTCACCAGAAATCCCAATGATACAATTTTTCATAACTTTTCAACCCCCCAAATCAACCCTCCGCCGCCCCTGCTCACGCACTTATTTTTTTAGGTTTATTATAAGCCCTTTTAGCATTTCCACTTATAAAAGTCTGAGTAACAAATTTTTTTTCTCCAAGTGTAAATGCTGTGCAATTCTGCTGCATTTGCGTTGAGACTTCCCTCCGAACGGAGGAAATTAATGATACCCCGAACGTCAATCGCATATTCCTAAACTTTTCAGTGTTCGAGAGAGCCCGCCAGGCCTCCCCCTGCATCATATTCTTCGACGAACTGGACTCCCTGGCCCCCAACAGGGGCATGTCCGGTGACTCAGGCGGTGTGATGGACAGGGTGGTGTCGCAACTCCTAGCCGAGATGGATGGATTGAATGACTCAGCTACAGTTTTCGTCATAGGTAAGGACTTTGCGGCGCTCGGGGAAATCTGACTTGCGGATTTAACCGGGAACTTGCACATTTTGTATCGATTGTACCCGCTTGGTGTATTTCAGGAGCCACGAATCGTCCGGATTTGATAGATCCGGCCCTGCTGCGCCCGGGCAGGTTCGACAAGCTCCTCTACGTCGGGCCTTGTACTGACGAGGCCTCCAAAATTTCAGTACTGAAAGCGTTGACTAGAAAGTAAGCCGATTTAATCCATTTTACAAACAAATGCTGAGGAATTTCACATTTCTAGGTTTACACTCGAAGAAAACGTCGATCTGACGGAGGTAGTTCGAATATGCCCCCCGAATATCACAGGGGCGGACTTCTACGGCATTTGCTCCGTTGCTTGGTCGTCGGCCGTCAGGAGGTTGATAGAGAGCGTTGAAAGAGGTAAGGAGGGCGTAAATCGGTAGCGTGACGAAGCTGGAGTAGTTTTTATTTGATTACAAGTTGCATTTTATTGTTGGCGTCAATTTTTTAGGTGATGTAGAAGCGGAAAGTCTGTCACAGGCCGACGTCGCGGTTGGTTTTGAAGATTTCAATAATGCCGTCGTTAATACCAAACCTTCAGTTGGTGCCGAGGATTTGGTGTATTTCGAACAATTAAAAAACGAACTGAGCCCTCGAGGCTCGAGGTACTAACAAGTTTGCGTGTATCTTTTGTCGTGATTTATTCTTTCGATATCGAAGTCATATTTAAATATATGTAGAAAGCTTTGAAGTGATTAAAAAAACACAGATTTTATCGTTTAAATTTTAAGCAAGTTAAAAAAATTCTTCTACCCCTTCAACGGCCGAGCGTAATAAAAATATTAGCTATTTTTCTTTACCTACCATTAATTTTAACTTTTTTTGTACAAAAAAATGTATTCATATTTTTGAGAAAAAGAAAAATAAACATTTATTTATGATTTATTCATTATGCTCTTATACAGGGTGGGCCACCAGTAACGCCTCGGTCGCTAGTGACCAAACGGCAAATGTTACAGAAACCTGTATAGGTGGGTATGTGTAGGTTGATTACGGCTACATTTTAAAAATATTTTGAGATATACAGGGTGTCCAGGAAAAGCGTACCATATCAAAGTTATGTTTTTTTAAATGGAACACCCTGTATTTTACTGCATTTTTGAAAGCACCGTAAAAAAATAGGTGAACTTTATTAAAGGTTCTGCATACCTAGGACTTACAGTTTGTGAGATATTTCAATTTAAGTGAAAATGCAGGC